TCTTCTGTACTCTGTAATGCCATAATTTGTAGAATTAAATAAACTCCATATACACATATCAGAAACCACACTAAGTGAGAGATAAACTGACAGAGTATGGTTCCAATTTCCTTTAAGCAATCTTGGAAGTTTGTGCCATAGAATTTTTGGTACATTTAAGTACGTCATCTTCGTGCTTGTCTGTGATAGCCCACAAATTACACTTTAATCACGAACGTAAAACCGTAACAAAAATCCACAAACAAGCACACATATTCTACGAATTATAAATTCAGAAGAGTTATAAATGCAGGCATAATTGCAATATTCACATTCTGCATTATACACTGAAAATCTGTTATAAAAGTGAATAATTGTTAGTAAACAAATGTTGCTGTAATGCTATCTACAGATTGCTAACTTACATATTTAGGGGAATCAGGTATAGGAATATAATAGTTTACTTTTATCATGTGATTAAGCACCTTGTGAAGCAATGTACTTATCACATATTACAGGCAACTCCGCCCATAACACAGCATTTAATTCCATGATAAAATAATACGATCTGTTTTCCCAACTTATATACTCATTTTTCGTCATGCCCTGCCAGTTCTGCGAAACAGTTCTACCAATTCAGTCTTTTGAAGACAATGTAAAGGACTGTAACTTACCACAGATGTAAGGCCCTGAGAAAATTCTGGTTTGTTGCCCTTCTTCACTTCTTCTTCTTCTGGAATTTCAGTCACTTCAACTGTTTGAGATGTAGCTTCTCCTTTCTCATTCTTTGCAATCAGTTTGTATGAACCTTTATCAGTCTGAGTTACAGACTCAATTTCAAGTTTCACTGAAAATTCTCCCTGGAACGAGGAGGTTTTTATGGCTTATTAAAAACTTAAAAATACAAGATTTACAATAATTAATAACCTTCAATATTGCATTTTCAGAGCTTACAATAATTAATAACCTTCAATATTGTATTTTCAAAGGTGTTTCTTGTGCGTAAATGTAGAAATACAGAATTTCACAAGCTGTCAAATTTTAGGGATGATAGGTCCAAAACAGGTTTTACTAGTATGCATATAGAACCCTTCATAATAGATCAACACCTACAAATTAATGAAAATACTTCTCAAAACTTACTTCTTTAACTTGTTCAACACGAACTGTGTGTCTCGAGTCCTCATGGACAGCTGTCTTTTCCTTAAACCAAGTACACTGAGGAGCAAACTTAGATATCACATTACACTCTACAATCACAGTTCTCTTCTTAGTAATCTTTATCACTCTTGGCTTTTCTTTGATCACAGGTATAACTGAAAAATTAAATATAACACATTTTGAATTCAACATCACACAAGTAACAAAGTTCTATTGTGTAATACTGTAATAAATAATATAAAGAACTTACTTTCAATATTAAGTGTGAGGTTTGCATTTAATTCACCAAGTGAATTCTTGATGTTACATTTATACAAGCCTGAATCTTCTTGTCCAGGATCCTAAAAATTCAGAATTCATTATTTATTATAAGTCTGCATCAAATGCATGTATATGTCCTTAATTTTATACTATTTTTCTAGGAATGCATATTCCCTCAAGCTTAATTTAATACTGTATTTGATATATTCTTATAACTGGCTAACAAACTTCTTCTTAAATCCAGTGTTATATTCAGAACTCATTTTACTTTAACTCTGTATGGCTTTTAATGTACCTATAGTCTTACAAACACAATCAAGGAGCCTCTTCTCACTCATAACAAAGAGCCACAACATTTTACATGTTCAATAAACAATTTCTTATTATTTAAACTAAATATTTCATCATGTAAGTACTAAAAACAAACAGCACAATACATCCAAGCAAATCAAAATGCAGAAACAACATTTAACTCCATTAACACCAAGTTTAGTTCATAAAATGAATGCTCCCATTTTTCATATGGTAATTTATAATGTTCATTAATGAATACCACATACTTTAACATAAATGTCAAGAGAAGAGGTGGTAGTTAAAATTACTTTTTCCATTTTTTTAAATAATAAACAAGTTCAAAGGAGAGATGATAGGGGAAATTAAGCAAGACATACTTCATAGCATGGTAAGTGTTATGTTCAAATATTCAATTATACCTTCAATTCCAATTTAATTGTATAGATGTCATCTTTCTGGTCAATAGATATTGATATTTTTGAAGATTCCTTCACCACTTTCCCTGCTTGGTACCAAACTATACTTGGTTTGGGATTGGCTTTCACTTTACAGGTCATAATAACAAGTTTTCCATTCATCTCAGAGACGATCCGAGGTTTCTCCACGAATGTTGGCCCATCACCCTCGGGTTCTGGTTCAGCTTCAATGTTGAGATTGAGGTTGGCATTGCTTTCGCCAAAGTCATTCTTCACATTGCACCTGTATGTTCCTCCATCTGGTCCAGCTGGGTCCTAAGCATGCAAAATGGAATTAAAGGGCAGCTCTGCAATGTCATCCAAACTCACACAACCCTTAGAATTACAAGTTTCTTGCACATTATCGACCCCTCCAATTTTAATCCAAAAAATATTTCAGAGACTGAAACCTTTTTCTGTCCTCAGGTGAAACCTACTCTGTTGAACAGTCAATAGAACTAGTCCCCATCACCGGACAACAGTAGTAACTTATAGTAATGGTCTATAAACCAAGAAAAACAACAAACTTCAGTGGGATACAAGACAAAGAACCATTTATAAAAATTATAACAAAGCAGATAAGACCTTATGCCTATGATGTTGCTTATGTTCCAGTCAAGGGGCCATGAAACAAAACCAAAGAAGAGTGTACAAAATTAAAACCAATGTCCAAATTAAAAAAAAGATTATGCATTAAAGTCACTTCTTGAAGATTCTATGCATTACTGCTACTACAGCCTGCTTGGTGATGCAGACTAATAAAGAACCAAATTCTAAAATAATGCCAAATAAAATCATACCTTTATTTCTAATAGTAATTCATAAGTGTCCTCTTCTTTATCAAGTGTGTTTATTTTAATCTTTGAGGTCTCTTTGACTAATGTAGTACCACGGTACCAGGTTACAATAGGTTTTGGTTTAGCTTTGCATTTGCATCTCATTGTGATAAGTGTTCCAGTGTCATTTGGAATAATTTTTGGCTTCTCGACAAAAGATGGAGCAAACCCAGCTGCATCATCACCACCTAAAACAAAGCAAAAGGGGCAAAGTTTCTTTTATAGTTTTATCATTATTTGGTGTGTCAACAAAAGAAGTATGTAAGATATCTACAACATTTTGTACAAAATAAATTTCCTCTGCTTCCTGAAACAAATATTTTCTTACACATAACAAACAAATAGGGTCAAAACAATACAATTCATTTGCACATCTGAAGCATGAAACAGCTGCATTTATACTGCACTTTCCTTAACTAGGGCTTGAAAGGAGGTTTGACATGCTATGAGATTTGTTCCAATACTTGGATGCTGTTCTCTGCAGTCTGCAAAAAAAGATGTGTAGGAAAATACCAACTGCAAGCTGAAGAGGAAGGACATTATAAAAAATCAGGCAGACTACATGTAGCAACAGTTTAGCAAAATCATATACAATAACAAGAAAATGAAGATATGAAATAAAAGACAGATAAGATACATAATCATTTTACAATGGTAGGAGAAGACATATAAGCAAAAGACTTCACAAAGCACACAACATAAACTGTAATCAGTTTGAATATTTACCAGTTTGTTCCTCCCTATCACTAATAGTCATACCTTGGAAATTTAGTGCAATATTGGCATTGCTCTCCCCAAAATTATTGAAGGCATTACATCTGTAGTTTCCACCATCCTCCTTGGTAGGATTTGAAACTTCCAATGTCAGAAGATACGTATCTTTTCCAGTAGCTTTCCTTGCCATACGAACGCGGCTGCTATCTGAAATGACCTTCGTACCCTGGTACCATGTAATCTCAGGTACAGGATTGGCTTCCAAAACACACTCCATCACAAGTATATCACCATCCTGTTTTATTGTTGGTTTCTTTGGGAAACGAGGTGCTTTGCCATCTGGAATCCTACGCAAACATATTAACAAGGTACCAAATCACCATTAGAGTCACCACCTTAAATAAAACAGCTTAACAGTGAAACACATTCCTTGTTTTAAGCCAAACTTAAACTTTAAATCAAAATAATTAAAGGTACATAACCAAATAAAATTTAATTTTTTATATTACTGAATACTCATGAAAGTAACTTCATGAACATCTTTGTGGTTTCTTGTAAAATAAACATCTTTCTCCTAAAGAAGGCACATAAATCATTCCAAAAAAAACAGATTATTCATGAGAAGGTCAAAATAGTTCACTTGCTGGTATAACTACGTTGGAGTTACCTCAGTTTTGAGGCTCTCATTTTGAAGTTTCTTCATTAATTTTATGTGGGTATTTTGAGGAGATAAACACTATTCAAAGGAGTTTTAAGTGGTTGTTTTAAAGACTCAAGTAAATGCATTATCAGCATTATAAATGGAAAGCAGATTCATATTTGTCTACTTCACTCACATACCTCAGACTCAATACCAAATTAAATAAATAAAAACAATATAAATTTATAAGATCCAAATATTTCCTTAAGCATTGCCATTAAGGCTATCAAATTTTAATCTGAAAACTTGGTACTACTAGCATATTATTACATGTAAGACATATTATTTCATGTTAGTATTGTCAAGTCTGAGACTTAAAGTAATTTATTTACAGAAATGAATCAAGCTGAGTTTATTATTGTTCAAAAATTCTAAACCTAGAACTGTTGAACTTCATGGATTTTGCTAAAAGAAGAGAAATTTATGAGTGGCTATTCACACTTTTATTTTCATTATGCACAGCTGGTGTATGCATACAAATGTAGACACATACAACAAAGTTAACATATCCTTTCTAGGGGGGGTGGGAAGTGAGTAGGCATTGAGAAATGGTTATAATGATTATTTAATGCCTACTTACTTCCCACCCACCCTGTATAAAAATATGAAATAATCATAAGATTCCTTCCAAATAAAACTTTTGAGGAAATTCTTGTTTTATTTTCTTATACATAAGTATAGTAACAGTGTAACTAACACACTATTGTTGAGATAACATTTAAATATTGCTGTGCTATTTTACATATTTAGTACAAGAATTGATAAATTATTCTGCATGCCTGTTCCATAAATTTATTTAATTTGATGTTGATTATTCAAAGAACTTCCTGCACCACAGAGTGATTGGTGTCTATAAATATCTAGAATACATTAGAACAATTAGTTAATATATCTATGTGTCAGATGTCTCACTCAAATCTACAAATAAAAAGAAACTCCTACACGAGCATCAGTTTCATGCAAATATCATCTGAGAAGAACGTTTAGCATGCAGTATCTTACTTTGGTTTGCCACCTCCTTCAAAATTCAGATTTATAGATGCTGTGCCTTCTCCATGCTTGTTTTTGGCGACAGCCTTGTAGTCACCACCATCCGAAGTTTCCACAGAACTGATCTCTAACCTTGCCATGTAATACAATTTCTGGTCTAGTTCCTGAGACATATGAAAGCGACCACTTTCCTTCAGTATTTTTCCTCCATGGTACCTTTAAAAAATTTAAATACAGTGATATTTAGAAAAGAAAATAATATCTGTTATACACAGAAAAATAAAATAAAATCCATGTCTTAAAACTTGGCGTATTCTCAAAAATGAACAGATCATTTAAAATTTCGTGTATTAGTTTCAATGTCTAGTCACACTTGCTTCTTATGAATTTTATTTATATATGAACATGCACATAAACTTGAATTCTGTTATACATCAAAATTTACAGTTCATACTTTACCAAAAAGAATTGAATATCTGACATGAAGTTACAAAAGTGAAGTGTCTCCAAATGACATTTCCATTTTATTCTTACTTCTTCCTCTAAATCAAAGTTCTGGATATTTAAACAAAGATCTAGTGTTATTGAACTAACTTTGTCATAATGGTTATATTTATTTCACTAATTTATTGTGATTATAATAATACCTGAATTTAATTAACACTAACCATGTAACTGTTGGCTTGGGGTCACCAACGAGTCGACATTCAAATGACACCTTCCCACCATCTTCAGTCTGCCGTATCACTGGTCGTTCTGTGAACGTGGGTTTGATGCCATCAGCTGGCACTGGAGCCTCGTCGCCTATATTCAGAAAGGAACCTAAACCGGCTATTTTATGAGTCACTTAAAAGAGCCATTAAGGAAGAAGGACTGAAAAGTTTAGTTATTTTGTCATTCTATGAAGAAAGCAAGAGTAGATCTGCCATACTGGAATAGATATGCCTTTCATTATTTCAAAATGTAATCTATTAATCACAGTAAAGAGAACCGAGAAATAAAAATGTATTTAATAGGAGGAAGTAGTGTGAATCATTCAAATCAACACACCACCTAATAAAATCAGGTAGATATTAGTACTTCAATCCTTACACCAAGAGTTTTGGCATTCTGTACTCATATAACATACTGCAAAGCTTTTTTAAGTACATATATTTAATGTACTTATTTTTAATATTGCATTAGTGTAAATATAAAGTGGTCAATGTATTTAGTACAATAACATAATATTTTTATAACATTTTATGTATCATTAACAAAACATAAAATTGCAACAGAGTATGTACATATGCAAATTTCATGTCAACAGCTGAGGTTGTATAACAATACATATTTCAAGTATTTGATAATGCCATCAAATAAAAAAGAATCAATCTCCTACAAAACGAAGATTTTTAATTTTTACCTTGGATTTGAATTTACCAACAAACAATTCATCTACTGCAAATAAATGATAAATGCAGGGGAAAAAAGGGAAATCAAATTGAAAGCTTTGAAATTTGTATGTTCTTTAGAATTAATGTTATGGAAATAAAAAAGGCTGTTCTAGACATTGGACATCATTCATAATAATAACATATTTTGATTATATAGTGACATTTAACTGTGTAAACAGTTCCAGCTGTAATGTGCCAAGGAATAGTGATTATGGTATATTTGTTTTTTCATTCCTCAGAAGAATCCTGTACTACACAATGGGACCTGTTTCTTAATTCAAACATAATCAGAATAAAGTTTTGTCTGCAGGCAATACACACTTTTGGCATAAGGAAATCTGAAATAAGCATACTGTTTCAGCATATGTTTTCACTGGTTTTGATGAAGTCTTTGAAGATTCCCATGAGTCCACAAAATATGAACATACAAATTTGTGAAAAGTTTACAAAGTGCATTTATTCTCTTCAAAAGCTAAAATATGTAACTACGTTGAAAGAATGTAACAATTTCTATGATAATATACATTTTATTTTCCACTCTATATCAATGTTCTCAAATGTGTTGTTAGTATATGTAGCATTAGGTATCATGTATTCTAGACAGCATTTCCTAATTGACAATGTAAATGACCAATTCGCATATGCATTCACTCCTGCAATAAGACTCTGTAAAAAACTTAATGCCATACTGGGGAATAAAAGAAGCAAGCAATTAGAGCAGAAGAAATATACAGTACCAATAACTGTGGCTGAAAAATAAAATAAATTTACATTAAGCTCCTCACTGGTAACCAAGCACTTAATACTGGAATAAAATTCAGTACAGTAGGAAGAAACTTCGGGCAGCCTCACAACAACCAATATATGTCCCTGAATTTAAGAAAAAAAATCATTACACAAACAAACAAAGTACTTTGCTGAAAATTTAACTCACAAATTTAGTGATTAGTACACCTATTGAGTAAAGTATGAGATGCTGTTTATCAATCTAAAGCTGCATTAGAAGCAAGACAACAGATACAAATACACAATGCAACAAAACAACTCTATCAACAGAAACACAAGTGGAAGTGCAAAATATCACAGAAGAAGGAAGTTGAACTGCTGTTACAATACATACTTTATACAAATATCAGCAATTATAATAACTGAAGTCACATATTTCCATACCCCCTGCAAAGTTACAATTATTTACCAATGCTCACATGTTTGTATAAATACAATTTTAAAATTCTTACATGTCATTATCAATAACACTAATAACAACAAAAATTTCAGGTGAAATTACTACTGACAAATCTGCACTTGTTTTTCTATAATTCATAAAATATTATTTGCATGTAAGAAATAATTTACTTTAATTTTCTTAACAAATAAGAGAAGTTATATTATCCAATACTATTTAACTCACAGAAAATGTAGAAGTTCAGACTCTAAACTTTTCCTTTGCAGGGTTAAATTACCACATATTTGTTACCATGCACAAAATAAATACATATTACTATAAACATAACTCATAAAGCATAACAGAAAGTTATAGTGAAAATGTGAATATTTAGTTAAAATTTTTATATTTCATTCTTTTTTATACTTATTTAGGTCATTATTAGAGGCAATTCAGATAATTCGTTCATACAAATGTATAGCCTTTCCAATTACAAATCAGTAGGCCTTTTAAGTGAAAGTGTGTGTGAAAAAGTAAAATTATTTTATATTTAGCATCTACATCTGAACACTCAGAATGTTTACGAGAGAAATAAATACGAATTTAATGAACAATATATAATTAAAGAAGCATCTTTAATCATGTGGCCAAGTTAACAGTTTTTTTCCAAAATGAAATGTCAACTTCTAGTAAAAAATAAAGGCACAATTTATGCATTTCCATCTCACGTAGAATCTATATTATCAGTTTAATTATCCAGAAATTAACTGAGATTCTACTTATTTTACTATACAGGTCTAATTAAGAAAATGTAGTCATAATTTTCACATGGATCTTAAGATTATACTGGCAATACGAACAACACCAGATGATAGTTACATATGTATACAATAAAAGCTTTCTGGCATATACGTATTAGAAAAGCAACTAATTTCAATGCAGACTACAGAAATATGTGTATACCACTTTTATTTCTCATCAAAACATGTTATGAATGCAGTTTCATATATGTCAAGCTTCAAGTAAATATACACATACATTGGGGAAATGTTAGTACTTATAATATTTTGTCTGTCTGCAGTGACAGACACATTTGTTTCCTTTGCTTTCTTCTAGAACACAATTATAACATTTCAAGAACTCAGTAACCTTAAATTTGTGGATATTGCTAACATGGCAGTATAATGTACTAAGTAACAAGACAATTTTCACACACGTTAAAATTATATTCATTAAAATTCAAACCTTGACATTAAGTGCCTTAAAAAGCACACTTATTATTGTTAATGGTGGTCTTTTGGGTTATGATAGCATGTGGTCTGGTAGGTGGTTACCAATGTTTCAGATGAAAATATTATCTCTTTCCTTAAGGTGAGATAAGCTGAGAATGGAGGAAAAATGTTCCTCTGAAATAATATTAACAACCTATAAAACCATAAAGTGTCAACTCAGAAGACCACAATTGACATTTTCACTGTGTGAAAACCTTGAGTATCAGATACATTTGTTTTCACTCTTTTTTTACACAAACTCATATCACAGATAATAGGTTTGTAAAATTAATTCATAAACAATATTAAGAACATTTAGGTAAATGTGATGAAACACCTGGTACAGGTATAAATATAGAAATGAGAGAGGGAAATTTGACCAGGTGCATGCAGTGCGGTAGTAAGATACACTTTCACTATTGCTGGAAATTTTGTTACATGAAAGGTACTTGAAACATGAAGCTCATCACATGACTCAGCCCCATTACTGTTTTTATAAACATAACAATAAACTTTAGTGCATCATAAATAAATTATTCTTTGTAAAGTCTACTTCTAATTGGCTCCACTTGTCTGGTTAATTTGAGACATGCAAATTATTTCTGAAGTATGCACAAGCAAATGTTATGACAAAACTTAGAGTTACCAATTTTTTATAACAAGATACAGAGATACATAGCAAACTAATTAAACAAATTTTTGAATGTTTAACAACCAGATGCCAGGACATGCAGTTAGTTAATTAAAGAGAACATAACTGAGACACTAGTCACAAAATTACATGATACCATAGATAGGCATAATATGTATATATGGCATACTTATTCTATTAATTAAAAACAGCACGGATAATAGATGTCCAAAATCTGACTGCAAAATAAAATGATGCAACATACTTGAGTAGTTAATTTTTCTTTTTTAACTATAATTTATAGGTTAGTGCAGCCATGTCTTGATTAAGCTAGTGAAATAGTAAATCTAAGTAAGTAGTCAAAGAGAATTATCAGCTATCAACTGAACTTGAAACATCTGGGAAATGAGATACTTGGGCAGAATTCTATCATGGAAACATCTTGGTAAGTAACCATTTCAAAAACATGGACTGAGATGAAGGATAACACTGATATTAATCACAGGAAAATACTAAATAGTACAGGACAAGAATGAAATGGTTTGGTAAACCTGTTGTTTGTAAAACCAGAAAGTAAATTTAAAGAACTAAACACATTTTAAGGGTCTGTTCTTCTCAAAACATGTAACACTAAAATTAATATTCAGTTTCAGAAAAGTTATTTCTAATAAGTAACATTTCGCATACATGCAAGCAGCCACTCATTAATGCAGCACAGCGTATGTGTGATTTTATTATATCTGTAAAGACATGGTGGTTATTTGCCATTGGTTTTAACCAAGAACTGTTTGCAGAACATTTCTTACTTCATTCTGTCATTTTACCTTCACATAATTTGTACCTAAATTCAATTCAAATACTCCAAAATAAATGCCGCATAATTAACACAAAATTTTCCTACAGTTAGCCAGGAATAAATCCGTAGTCAAGCAAATGAATTACTGGTATTTCAACCTTCAACCATTAACGTTTCACAGTCATCACAGTAAATTAATACGTAACCCAAAAGTGTACAGTCTAATAGATGTTAATTTTTTCAGATAGTTAACATTTACTGAATACTGAAATAAATAGACATATAAACTTGAAAAATAGCTACTTTCTGGATTTTCTAACTAAACCTTTTTGGGGTTAACCATGTTAGGAAATGCTTCAACACATGATAAAGTGAGACCTCAAAAGCTGAAGTTAAAACTTACATTAAATTATGGTCATGAAAGTCCAGAAATGAGTAATTTCTGAATATTAGAACTGAAAGAAGATGCATTATATAACATCCTTCTACTTTTGCTGCCATGGTTTAACCACTGTGTAAATACATATGTGGAGAAATTAAGAAAACATGCAAGTAAGATATGAAGCAAATACATGAGAAGTATTGAGAAGCAGATTATGTAGCCACACCAGGACGAAGTTTGCTGTTGTTCCATTCTGCCAACATAATCATTGGTTTAGAACAAAACAGTTTAGATAACTGCGATTACTTGAACACATATATTGGAGAACAGTCTTTTCTATGAAGGCTCCCACATGAACCTATATTATTTATAATTAAATAGTTTATAAATTATTATTCACTTTGTTGTTTAGAGAATCAAAAATAAAATATTATTATGTAATGCCTAGAATGACATAATTTTGTTAATGTGAAACATAAATGTCTACAAATTAAAATCTGATAAGTCTTTATGTTATTCTGTAAAGTTAACTTTTCTTAAACTTATTAAATAGGTACTTTTAACGACATATAAAAGGTTTTGTCAGTTTAATGAAAGTTTATGATTTAAGTCCCAAGCTCTTCACAACCATCATATACCTATTTAAATACTTACTGTCAAAATTGAGGCTTATTGTTGCATTACTCTCTCCTAACTCATTCTTTGCTGTCACCTTGTATTTGCCAGCATCCTCAACAGTCACATTCTTTATTTCCAGTGTTGCAAAGTAGGAATGACCATCTTTGTCAACAGTTAACTGCAAAACAGAAAACCAATAGTTTATTCAGTTTAAGGTCCACACACACACATATATATATACATTTAAGATTTTTGTTTAATCCTATCCAACTGCAGGTAAATGTCCATTATGTGATCAAAAGCAGGCAAATTCATGATAATATCTGTGTAATATACAAAACTAAAACCAGTCTACAACTTTTTGTAAAAAAACTAGTGTTATGGTTCCATAAAAGGTAAAGAATTTTACCAACTGATAAACTATAAACTTTTCAAGAACAACTTTGCTCTATGAGTGGGGGGAGTTTGTTTTTGTCAGTCGGTTGTGTATTGTTAACAGATACAACAACATAATGCTGTGGTTTAGAAAGCGTGGAGATTCACTTCCACTTTCCTATGATCCTTCCGCTAAGGCACAGGGACAACTTCATCTTCACCTGCAGCTTTAAATAAATCTTGAAATCATAGCCTAAAGCCAGTCATTAAAACATTCAATGAAGTCTTCAGAGGCAATGGACATATTCTCTCTGCTTCTCATGGTATTTCTTAATATCTTGTCGTTATGTTAACCTCAAACATATTTTTTATATCCTCACTTTGCTTTGTTTATCAAAATTACTCCTTTAAATGTACATAACAATCTTCTTTGTGCTGTTTCAATTTTCTTTTTATCTTTTGTCTTAAGGGTCAAACATTTGTTCCGACATGAGCAGTTTGTTTTTCAGACCACCTTATGAAACATCGATTAGACTATTTCACTCATTTTTCTACCTCTTCAGTACCTCATATGCTAAAATATTCAAATAAATGTAACTCACCTTGTGCCTAGTGGAGTTCTGTACTGCAGCTCCATTGTGAGACCAACTGACAGATGGTCGTGGATCAGCCTGTATCCGACATTCAAACAGGAGGCGTTTCCCATCCTCTTCCTGTCGGATTGATGGCTTTTTCGAAAACGTTGGAGCAATGCCATCAATTTGCCTGTGAATGGAATTCAGATGTGTTAAACATAAACCCACCTGAAATGTAAAATGTTCAGTTCTCTAGGGATTCCATTATGTAGTTATACAAGAAAATTCTACTATATACAAAAACTGGTTGGCCTGAAAACTGGAGACGTTATTCTCAGCTCGTAACTGTATTGGGATAATATTTCACATAATTTGTTATACTAATCCTGTTAAAATAATTGAAAATGGCATGTCTCCAATTTTAAGACCATTCAGTTTTTGCATAAAGTACAACTTTCTTACTATAGAATCCCTACACAGCTAAAGTTTTTCTGTTTCAGACAGGCCAATATAAATTTGAAGTGAGGAACATAAAATCCCAGTGGTATATTATTCTTACTTTTTAAGCCAAAGTGGCTGTAAATGCAGTTATAAGTGTAATGTTAAAAGGTGGCAGTTAACAGAAAAAAACTGATTAAACAAACACTAGGCTACATACACAATAAAGTAAGTAGGGCATATGTAACAAGTGGCTGCATTAACTGGAGTCAGAACAATTATAAAAATAAGAAAGTGATCAATTAATGCTTTATTATGATGAGCTAACTGCACTGAACCAGTTCTACTTATGGCAGATGAGGTGTGGTATTAGTACGATTGCACAAGACATTTTAACTACAATTAGTTTAGTTGACACATTGTTAGTTATAAACATATACAGGACGTTCCATTTAAAATATAGCTTAACAACAATCATATACCACATTACAAGAATGAAATAAAAATCAGATCCATCCCATGTAATAGACTCTCCCAGTGATAGTTATGTCAAGATCAGCCTTCTTGCTAAGCCACTGTTCATGCCAGTTGTGTAAAAGTTGTATAGGTGCAAACATGGTGTATTCATGATCAGAATGTGTGTTCATTCTCAATCATCACTTCACATCAAAATCGTTTGCTGGTGTCCAAGAAGCACTGAGCACTATGTATGCTGACAAGGAAGTACAGAATCAGACAGTTTACCAAGACAGAACAAAATATCAAAACACAGGAAGTGTTTGCATTGTTGGGTATAGACTTTGGCCACCACAATCTCCAGACCTTACCCTGAACAACTATTTTATTTTGTGGAGATTTCTCAAAGAATGAGTTTCACTGAATAACCCACAAAGTTTGGAGGAACTGAAACACTATACTGAACAGACTGTCGCCAACAATTACCCGGAAATACTTCGCAAAATCGCACAAAACACTAAGAAGTGTGGATTCTCATTTCTGTGAAGGTAATACACATTTTCAGCATTGTTATTAAACTATTCTGTAGACTATTCCTAGCAAATAAAAACGAAAAGAAAACAACTTGTTTGTGTTTTTATAGTGAGGTAAAAATTGGTAAGTAATGGTTAAGTTTTAAACGGAACATCCTGTACAAATAGCAAAGTACTAACTAACTAGATGGCTTACCGAACCCGAAGGTTCATAACCGAATTAACCAAAGTCCTCCACCGGACCCTGTCCTGGGCCAACAAAATTCAGTCTCCTTCAACTCCTATCTCCCACAGATCCTGCCTGACATTATCCACCCATCTACGTCTAGGTCTCCTCAGCGGTCTCTTCCCCTCAGGCTTCCCAACCAATACCCAGTGCACACCTCTTGTCCCATCCATGCGTTCTACATGCCCCGCCCATCTCATTCTTGCAGTACCCCCGGTCATGATAAAGCAAATACCAGTTTTCAGGTAATTACCTTGGTTCAATTCTGTTATTCACATGTTCCTACCATTTTTTAAATTGTATTGGATTTCTTGTTAGCTTATTGCTATTGTCCGCGTCGCTTTACTTAGCACCTGCACTCCAGAGAAGCTATCACAGGTAATACGAACATACCAACACACCAACCAACCATCCTAGCAATTTTGGCTCTGCTCCAAATTGCATGGTTAATGTAAAGGGACAGCAAGCTGGGTAATCATCCGTCAATGTAAATTTTGCGCTCGAATGTTGGTTACATTGTTACAACTAGGCGTATAACAGAAGTTACTGACCGCTGTACTAAGCAGAGCATGCGCAATTTGTGCTATACTAATCGCTCAGCGATGGCGGTGTAATGAAACTATTAATTGTACAGAAGTATGCTGGAATGCAAGTTTAGAAATAGTTTTGACAGGATGTTTGGATACAAGTTTAGATTTAGTTGTACGTTTATTATCGTAATGACGTTTAACAGACAACCATAGTAACGAAACAGAAAAGCACAATGCTTTTCCATCTTGAAATTCTAAGAATGAATTTCACTCAGGATTTTTGCCCATACTTTGAAAACATTCCCACTATTTTCCAGGCACAGTGTTTTTTGTTTTTGTCTTCTTCTTTTTTTCTTTTTTTTTTGGGGGGGGGGTAAATTCCCGAACGGCCGAAAAATTATCAAAATAAGTAGGATTTGAGTTTTTCACGGCGGTGAGTACAAGATGGCTGTCTTATGGGTTGTAGTGACGTGTAGTCTAGTACAAGTTTACCAAATTTTCAGAGGTCCTTGCTGTTTCCATCATCAGGGCGACGATTGTCACTCATCGCCCTGATGATGGAGACATAAAGCACGTCTAGAACGCTGGTAAACTTCTACAAGACTACACGGCGCAATAACCCAGAAGACAGTCATCTTCGCACAAACACAGCTTTTGCACACTGCGTTTTAAGAAGTCGACCAGTTCAAGCCTCTCCTGCTCTACAGTGAAAAAGAAAGGATTAAGAAAGCGAATACTACAGGTACATCACAGCATGGCTAGTGCCTATGTTAGTGTAAGCAAACGAGGTAGTGTTTAAGCATTTTTGTTTTGTTACTTACTTCTCTCGTGGTTCATCGGCAGCTGAAAACAAAGAGTGAAATAAGAATATAGTTCAAAAAATATATTATAATGATTTAAAGATGTGTACCCTTGTATCTTGTAATAATATTAATTTATATACTATTTATTTAATAATAATATTTTATTGTGATTAGACTGATAAAAATTGAACAAGTATATATTCAACACAATATGACGCAACATTATCATCTCATAATATATACTATAATAACAAAATGTTTGCGTTTTGAGGATAATACAAGTGTGTAATTAAGATATTTTAAAAACACACAGGAACAAAAAGGGTAGTTCTCGAAAACAAAGGTCCTGGTTTTAAATCCCCCCCTTGGGACACGGGATGTATTTCCGCGATTTTCCTTGTTTTGGTAAAGACACGGGTTCATTGTTTTAAAGTTACATAATTAGAATCAACCAAAATTAATTAACTTTAAGAATCCAAATGCTTTAATTCGTGATGGATGAATAATAATTAAAAAATTACGCGAGAAAAGGTTTTAGTAAAAGTTAATTTAAAGATAAACGTGTACTCACGACTGAAGTTGAGGTTTATTGAGGCAGCCACTTCACCCATCTTGTTTTTCGCTTTGACTTTGTAGAGGCCGGCGTCGGTTTCGATAACATCGTCTAATTCGAGTACGACGAGGAACTTGTTCGTGCCTACAGACTGGATCCTCATATTGGTGCGGTTATCCTCTGCCAGCTGAGTTTCACCGCGGAACCAGTCAATGTCTGGTTTTGGGGATGCCAGTAGTTGGCACTCGAATATCAGTCTATTTCCTTCATCTTCTTGGCGCAACTGCGGCTTCTGAGTGAAGCTCGGAGCGAAGTCCTCGGCCACCCCCATATTTTTTTATTCAGGGGTGCCTTGGAACCAAAACGTTCGGGTTTCTCGACACGAGACCCCAATTATTTGAAAATCAACGCTAGGGCATCAACTCCTCCCTGCAAACAAAACGGAGAGCTTCAAAGTTGGTGTGTTAATAGGTCTCCAGTGGAATTAAACTTGAGAAACGAAATAATTATTACTGTTGGTATAAAGTATGAAAGATTAGTACTCAAAACACGCGCACCATTACAGTTTGACACCCGTCTTCCTCAGACATAATTTAGCGTATTCTTATGTACCACTTAATTTAGCCTCAACTGTAACAAGTTTTATACAACATAATTTCGTTATTTTTATGTGTATGTCTGTCTGCATTCTAAATTGGACCAAATTTCGCCTTATGAAACGCTGTATATAGCTTGAACTGGCAAAGGAAAAATTAAAATGGGTTTGATTGAGACGTGTGATTTTTAAGGAGGGGTACATTTTTTCTTCTGACTACGACGCAGTTGGCAGGACTGGACTTCACTGACGCCGTTAAACACTGTTAGATTAGAACTGGCTACTGTTTTTGAATGAGAAACAAAATGATCTATAAGATTGTTTGTAAGATCGGAAAAACAACCATGTCGTTTAGCATGTGGGGGTCCACATTATCTCTGCTTCAAATATATGTATGTTCTTATCTTAATTAATTTAAAGACGCTATGTGAATTTCGGGCATAAGTCTACACAGTTTCGGATAATATACGATTTCAATATCAGAGTTTCAACTAGTAAGTACAAGACTTGAAGCAAATCCAATTACTCATCCAATAAGTTTACCGACTGTTAAATCTTACTTCATTTAATTAGCTCCGTAAGTCATTTTTTGTATAACAGAAAGATAATTGTTAATGATGACCTGTGAAACGACTTTTCTACGGTATCAGTCTATACCTTGGACAGGAACGAGGTTAACGTTTAGAATTTTCTTGGGTCAGACTAGGTATGACACCTAGAAATAAATCAACTGAATACTACTTCATCTGTCCAAATTCGCTATTGGATTACTTTTATGTGATGCCATCTAGCTTCTGAGCATGACACTAATCCGTTTAATAGACCAAGATTACTATGCGCAATGTATTTTAATTACGCAATATTTAAAATATTTTTTTAAATATTCTTAAAAAAATAGCTAAGATTAAAATTTGTTCCTTTTCCTGGGAAAGCTGATCGCTTTCTTTGACATCATTATCATTTTAAAATAATCTACATACAAATATACTGTACTCTCTTTCAACATATGTTGTTTTTCACGATTAAAAATAAACTTCCATGAACTGTACGTCCTATTGCCAGAAATAAAATCACAAAAGCCGTTAAATATCTCCTTGCACATGGTATTTTAAACTTTAAAAACAACATTGTGCGCTGATTTCCTAACCATTCCAAAGATTCATGTGCGCATGGCAGTAAATCTTCTTCCGTGACATTTATGGGCGTTCGTTTTTTGAAAGGAAAACGCAGATTCTACGTGATCCTGAGCAGCTATTTTCTTGCCATATCATAACTCAAATCCTTAACCAGCTCAACCCTTAAAGCAATGGTCTCTACCTGCAGAAGAATCTTAAAGCTCTCAGTGGAGTCCACTGTTTACCATGGTATCTGTTTATTTTTATAGAGAATTGCAACTCTTGGACTGATTTATTTATGTGAGTACGCAACAAGAAAAATAATTCCAACCAATTTGTTTATAACAAACGAGTAAATCTCAGTAAAATTAAAGACTTTCAGTTTAAACGGATTTTAACTAAGCAAAAATGTGTGGAGTTCAACAGCAGCCCGCCCGAGGCAAAGTATCTTGCTCATTGCCACGTAAGTCACAGTAAGTATTGAGACATGCATCCCCATGAACAATCACTGCTGGATAATATTCCGTCTTCTTCGAGTACAGTACAATACTGCAATTAAAAGACTTCAACTAAATATGCCGTTCCTTGAATACTTCTTCAGAGGAACAAAGTTGCGAAAATCCCACAAATGCCATAAGAATGGGATGACAAATGTTAGAAAAACTTCACAATACCAAATTTTATGAAAATTCGTTAAACACTTCTAGTTATTGTCTGCAGATAAACATAAGAGGTGCGATCGGAAAGTTTCAAGACTGTGTCAATAGAGGGCGAACCGGATGTAGTACGAGCTTCTGCCTTTAGGGGGTGCGGCCTACATTCATAGTGAATCAGTGTGCCAGCCGGCATCATCGAATTAGCATTTGTTTCTTAGTTACGGGCGTTTTGGTAGTGCATTACACCGACCCTCCTGCGATTTCGGAATGGCGGATTTTCATGAACAAATCAAATTTTGCCAAAGACTCGCCAAAACGGCTAAGGAAACCTATGAAATGCTAAAGCAAACATTTGGGGAGTCCGCAAACTTTTGTGTGGCATTCACGTTTTAAAAATGGCCGAACCTCTGGCG